CACATGGGTTTGTTTGAAAACATGCAAGTATGTTGGACAATTTCGTAAATTACATTTGAATGAAAATAAATAAATAACCATAACTTGAAAACTGAGAATTTGTATTAAGTATTATACAATACCATATATTTAAATACTTTAATTACATTTGAAATAAGTACCAAATAATGAATATATATGTGAATGAGAAATTTATATATCAATGCAATAATTAGTATTACTTTTAAAAGTATTACAATTATATATCATAATTTACCAACAGCATTCTCTCCAAGAAGAAAAAATCTTTTGAATTAGTTGGCCCATGAAATATATTGCGCCAACGCGATACATCGTTATGCAGCACTTAGAGTGAGCATTTGCGAACGTTAGCAGCACTGTTTGTTGATGATTTTCAATATTAAAGGCACTCTGCTTTGCCTTGGCTGCGTTTTTCTAAACAAAAAACTGATCTAAATATCAAAACGTATAAATTTTTGTTAGGCATAGATGTAAAATTGAGCACAACTTTGTGTGAATTACAAGTGCTATACTGTTAGTTGTTGACATGCACCTGCATTGGCATTAACAACTCGGAGCAACAACAACAAAGCGCTCACACACTCGCGGAAAGGCAGAAAAGGGACATCGACATCGATTTTTTTGCACCCTTTTTGTTGCGCACACACACATATATATATTTTGCGTAGGCAAATTAGCACACAAAGAGAGACAGGCGACAAGCGACAAGTGTTGCCCTGGCCTGGCAAGGAAGCACGCAAAGCAACGACCCAAGTAAACATCTATTAGTTTATTGAATCTCAGTGTCTCCCAGTGCGAAAGGGACGCTCAATGAGCGGCGGCGGCGAGGAACACGAGCAGCTGAAACAGAAGGCGCGGCCAACGTCAACGTCGCCGTTGCCAGGCGTCTCAAGGTGAGTAAATGCATACATATATACAATTACATATATATATATATATATATTGTATGTATATACGTATACATGAGTGAATATATATTTAATGCTAAACGCATTTGCACTTTTTGTCGGTTACAGCGCATCGACTTCATCAGCTGCGGCAGCTGCGGCCGGCACGGTGGCTACCAGCGGGGGCAATGGTCGAGCCACACCTGAGATGAAACGTTCGGCTGTGCGCAGCCTCATCCAGCGCTACTTTCATCAGCTGCAGTCCGGCTGTGGCAATGTCCATTGCAAGAATGCCAACTGCGCTTCCAGCGGCAAAGTGCCACCCATGACGCCCAATGAGGTAGCCGCACGAGCCCTTCATCTCTTCTCACAGGACGCACAGCTGTGCGATAGTGTGCCCACAGTGAATAGGTGAGTGGATCACGCTTGCATATCAGTAATTTACTCTTACTAACGTCTCTTGCCTCCGGACAGTCCACAGCAGGACGTGGACATGCTTTCGCCAAATGACAGCAGTAGCAGTAGCAGCAACAGCTCCACTAGCACCATTACATCCGCTAGCACCACAACCACCACAAGCACCCAATCCCAGTCGCAATCCCAATCTCAATCGCAGTCCCAGTCGAATACGCAACCACAAAGCTCCATCGAGCAGTCGGAACGACCGCCAATGATAATGGATTTTGGTAAATTGTCCACCCTTGGATCGGAGACGGCAACAGAATCAGAAACAGGAACAACGACGACGACGACAACAGCTGGTGACTCGGGCCCCTGCACACCGACGCTGCCGTCTGTAGAGTATGTGGACGCTGAGTTGCTGGAGGGACTCTACACGCAATGCCATGAGGCTGGCAACTACGAAAGGCTGTGCCAAATCATTGACCATGTGTTCTCCAGCGTCGATCGACTCAGCAAGAGCTTCGTCTGCCGCCCGGGACAAGAGCGACTGCATTTGGAAAGTAAATCGAACAGTGCCCTGAATAAGGAGCAACTGAGGCAACTGGAAGGCGAGGCCGACAAGGATGAGGATAGCACACAGCGATCGACGACGCCAACCGAACAATGTCCAGCTGCTAGTGCAGACGATGCCGGTCATGCAACTGCTAATACTTCTGGAGCCGATGCAGATGACAACGACGAGGACGAACCGATGACTCAACAGGAGCAAAACGACGAGTTTCTACGTAGGGGTACCAAGGTGGATTTCCGTGGATTGCGGCACATAAAACGCATGCTCTTCGGTGCGCCTTGTCAATCTATTGCGGAGCAGATCACGAATAGCGTAATCAAACTGGCGGACTCTATACGGAACATTCGATTGTCCTGGCAGGACTTGTGGGAGCAGGTGCTGCATTGCTTAGTCATATGCTTTGACATGGCCACCAACAGTAAGTATTGCTTAGCTAGATAAAGACGTGGCTAAACAGGAGCAAATTTCTCTTTAACCTCTAACTCTATGCCTTTTCAGCTACGGCCAACAACAGCGTCACTGACATGGAGTATCTGGACCGCGTGCTGCCCAAGCTTTGTCATGCAGCAGCTGCAATGACTGTGCAAGCGCAGGCACGGCTCGCGATTATCTGGAGCGAGTATTGTGCCGATCAGCTGCAGACTCTGTTGTCCTCATGCCAACAGCAGATAACGCTCCAGGTGCTGCTCGACGAGGACTCGGTGCGCGAGAACGAGCATATTATAAGCGTGACCAAAGTGCTGAAGGTGAGTTGATCAATATCCTCTAGTTTATCTCTGTACCTAGACACTTTTTCCCTTCATATAGATCGTGTTTTATGCCAACATATTGGCCAGCGTGCTGGAGCGTCCCTCTTGTCGACTGCCCTTACAGGAGGTAGTTGAGACTGAATCTGCCGCCTCTGCCGTGGAGGATGGCGAAGATCTGTTCGTCTACAATTCGATGCAGCAACCGCATATGCCAAAATTTGCTGAAGATCCGCTAGAGAAGTGCTTGCAGGTCTCGTACATTGACTGTCGCAGTCCCTTAGTGCCGCTCGAAGAGTTCTATAATGAGGCGCTCAGCGAGCACATACAAATGCATCAAGACTATCTGTCCTATAAGACGCTGGCCATGGAGAGCGACTTGGGCTCCAGAAACACGAACTATTTTTGCTTTATGCTCTATGCATTCATCCTAACACCGGCCACCAAGGTCGATGCCCTCTACTACGACTGCCGCATGCGCATGTACAGCGAACGGTACTCCTCGTTGTATTCCATATTACAAAACTATGGCCAGGATGGCCAAGAAGGTGCGCGACCCGATCTCAAGCTGACGGTGCGACGCGATCAACTAATTAACGATGCGCTCATTGGAGTAAGTCGGAATGGACGCATAAACTCTTGTAAGAAATTTTGCAATTAATAACTGAATTAACTTATAGCTCGAACTTGTTGCAATGAGCAATCCGAAGGATCTGAAGAAACAGCTTGTGGTGGAGTTTGTGGGTGAACAGGGAATCGATGAGGGCGGCGTATCCAAAGAGTTCTTTCAACTAATCGTGGAGGAAATATTCAATCCAGCTTTTGGAATGTTTGTGCAGCAGGAGGAGACCAATAACATGTGGTAAGTGTGAGGTCTCGATAACATCCTGAACTTGGTAACCCTTTCAATCGTTCCCTTTAATAGGTTCAATCCCACGCCCTTTGAGAACGGCGCGCAATTCACGCTGATTGGTATAATCATTGGCTTGGCCATTTACAACAATGTCATCCTGGCTGTGAACTTTCCCATGGTTGTCTACCGCAAGCTGATGGGCTATCGAGGTACCTTCTACGACCTGTGCGACTGGAGTCCGACGCTGTACAAGAGCTTAAAGGCCATGTTGGACTATCAGGGCCATGACATGGAAGAGGTGTTCGAGCAGACGTTCAAGATTAGCTACAGCAATGTGTTTGGCGAGCTAGTGGAGCACGAACTGGTCCCACATGGCGGCGAGGTGCTAGTCGGCCAGCACAACAAGCGTTTATTTGTCAATCTATACAGCGATTTCTTGCTGAATTCGAACATAGAACAGCAGTTTAAAGCGTTTCGCAAAGGCTTCGAAATGGTTACCGATGAGTCACCACTGAAGCTGCTCTTCAGGCCAGAGGAAATTGAAAAGCTAGTCTGCGGCAGTCGCGTATGTTTAGAGAAGAGTTTCTCAACTTGCGTTTGGACTTTCACTAATTCTGTTGTATCTTACAGGAGTTTGATTTTGTGGAATTAGAGCATTCGACGGAGTACGAGGGTGGCTATACGGAGGAAACGCAAATCGTGCAAGATTTCTGGAGTATTGTCCATGCCATGCCACACGAGTCTAAGCGAAAGCTGCTCGAGTTCACCACGGGATCGGCGCGGGTTCCCGTTGGAGGATTAAAATGTTTACGATTGTTAATCACACGCCATGGACCGGACAGTGATAGATTGCCCACGTCGCACACTTGCTTCAATGTTCTGTTGCTGCCTGAGTACAGTAGCAAGGAGAAGTTGGAGGAGCGCTTACTAAAGGCAATCAATTACTCCAAGGGCTTCGGGATGCTATAGTCGCCGCAAAGGAATAATGCCAAAGTAGTTGGTATACATACCTCCAGGAACGCAACAGATACCACCTCCGATAAAAATATGATGATGATGATGATGATGATAACGTGGATGTTTAATTAGTTGATGAGCTTTAGTTTGTTTTTGAATTTGTCATTTATTTTTGATACAACTTGTTCAAATGAGACAATATATATATATGTGTGTGTGTAAATGCTCAATGTGGCGTGACGGCAAGAAAACAGACTTAGCAAAACTTGATTTAACTCACTATATACTTTACTATGTCGCTCAGTTAATTGTAAATAGCATAAATTACATTTATTCGCATACTCATACACTCATGTATTTACGTTTGTAATGCAGCACGCATAAAAATTTGCTGAATAAATTTTAAGTTGTGCGCCAATTGATTGCTGTTATTATCGTTCGATAAATTCTCATTTGCTTGTTATCGATAAGTAGATGTGCAGGCATCGCTCGCTTTACAGCACTGCCTCTGCATTCATATTGTCTTCGTTTGCGAGAGTCGTATTTTGGATTTTCATTCATGTTATCATCGTTGTTGTGTTCGGTTGTGCAGCGGAGGAAGGCTGTTTAATTTCAGAGCAAAGTTGCCTCCCGGAATATGCAACAATTATCATAACATAAATCTGTGCGTTAGAATTGTGAAAGTGAGCGAGTGTGAGTGGGTGTGGAGTTCTGTGTTTCGGGAATAACAAAGCCAACGACATGGAAAAGCATATAAATTGCGCATTGTTGTTTTTGGCGTCGCTCTTGTTGTTTTTGCAAGGAGCTAGCGTCAGTGCAGCGAACGCCGCCGATGTTGTTGCACCCGCCGAAGTTGTTGCAGCTGCACCAGCTCAACCAAACTTAAATGGTACGTGTGTGTGTCTAGAATCTGGAGCATATGAGTTCATCACTGGAATTAGCAAAGCATAAGCACTAAAAATTATTAAATTGCATTCAACTGTAGAACGATGTGCCTACAAAAACACACACACACACACATCAGATTCAGGCATTGTCTATGCAGCTGTATATGCATGCGGGTGTGTGTTTGTGTGTTTCTGTCTCTTGCTGCGGTTTTTGTTTATATTTCTTTGCTCTTTCCTCTTGGTGCTTGAAATTCATGCGGTCGTTAGCATTCAAAGTGCCTTACGATGTTTCTGGATGCTCTGATCTTATTTTAATTGCTTTAGTTCATAAAAATTATTTCTAATAACGTTTTGCATACACAATTTTGATTTCTGGTTCGAGCTATTTCATGTCACGCATCCTGTGTCCCTGACACAACCAAATTAGGTCATATACATGTACATATTAAATTTTTACTATTTTTGAGTATGAGAATCTTACTATGTCAATACTTTTTATATTAAATATATATTATATGACTTTCTTTTGTTAAATGTATATATCTTGAGTATTAATTCTATTCTTGGTGTTTCGATGATGCTATATGAAAGAATTTCATCTTTATAAACATATGTATGTGTATGTATTTATACAAACTGAAAGCTTTTCGATTGTATAATACTGAAGTCTAAAAAACTAATTCTCCCATATTTGGATATACCCGTAAATATCAAATTTTATTCCTAAGTCATATATGTATAATTTTTTCTTTTTTATTATTATTATTATTTTTCAATTTATGATATAAACATTTTTCTGTTTTTCAATTCAGATAAAATCAAAGTGTTCACCGTTGCCACGGAGCCAACCGATGGATATCGCCGTTATATACGCTCTGCCCAAGTTTACGATATTGAGGTAAGTTCTTTAAATTTGCTAATCGTCGAAATGGCACAGTTAACCGTTAAATTCTAACCGGCTGGCTGCGTCATTTTACTATCTATTGCTTAAATTTATTTTATTCAAATTTTTGTATACAACATTTATTGTTTTTTTTTTTTTTTATGATCAATAAATTGTATAGAAAGAATTGTTAAAATTTTTTATGTATTTCTTTTAATATTTAAGTGAGCTTCGATTGTTGCCTACAAATTAACTCGTCTGAGTAGTATTTATTTATTTATTTATTTATTTATTTATTTATTTATTTTTTTTTTTTTGTATACTCGACAATTTTAAATTGTTTTCAAATAAATGCCGAACTTCTCTTTTAACTTTTTGTTCGGGTAAACCAGAACCTATTAAATTATTATTATATATATTATTATACTATAAGTAGATATAAATATAATAGTAAAACAAAACGATTCAAACTCTGTTCAAATAATTATTGTGTGAAATTTTTATTTGAGATTTCTTCGAGCGACATCAATTATATGCGTATTTCTTTGATAAGCATTCGGGACTTAAACCCTATTTACTGACCTCATAAAAATTCCAATCAGTAGTCGTTTGCTAACAATATGCTGATATGATATATACATTAGGCTTTCATTTTGATAGATTCAAACTAAAGAGCAAATGACCGGAAGCTTGTATAGCGAAGCTTTGTTTTCAATTTAGGGAAATACGAGGGAGGAGTACAATAATTTGTATATAATTTAAAAACATTTAAAGCAATTTAATAAATTTATAGCTCTTGAGATTACGACCTATGATTCATTAATCATCATACCTGTTACGGATTTTATAGTTCGATGTAAAATAAATTTAGGTTCCAGTTGAGTAACAAAAAACTTGACTTAAAAGTCAAGGTTTACCTAATATAACAACTCTCTTCGTTTTAAAAATTTATAAAATGTATATCAACTTTGATTTATTGTCAAAAAAAAAATCTTTGCCTGCTAGCAATTGTTGATTGAGCATATATTGCATGCAATTCTATAAATAAATTTCGAGATTTAATTAAATGTCGTTGTATTTTCAATATATATACAGCATACGCGTGTACATCTGTTATTCCTAAACAAATGATTGACGAACTCTTGCCGGCATATCTCGGTTTTGCGGCACACTTTTATTACTGTAGAGATTGTAGCTGTTGTATATATACTGTATATAGAGTATATATATATAGTACATGTATATTATGTGTGTGAGCGTTTAGACATTCGTCCAAGCATCCGGCACTGTCGTCCAGATGACTGCTCTGCCTGCGTCTCTGATGTGTTACACAGAGATTGGCTGTTGCATTATACACATACTACATATGATGGGGGCACCATATACTGAACACATGTGTTTGATCGCGTTTCGATGTTTACTTTGTTGTGTTTTAATCACGTAGTCCATGCAGCCAGTTGGAAGCTAGCCCGGGTGTAATTAGCACAATTCAGTTCCCGATCGATCCATTGATTGTGCTTCAGTACTTTCCTCTCATGTGCATACGTACTATATTGTATTGTGTTCGATGCTTAGCTTATCAGCTTGAAGCTGAAGCCGGTTTTCCTAAACGAAATGTGTCGCATATATAGTCTTACGAATGCTTCTCATATTCATCTTTTGACAGAAATATTCACAAAAGAAAAAGAAACCGACAACAAATTTCATAAAATGCTGATTAGCCGGTTGGCCGGCTTTCGTTCACAGTTCTTGGATTTCAAATTTGAACTTTATTTTCGAAATGATTATAATTTGTATTTCAAGAATTATGTCAACGTAGCCGTTTAATGTGCTTAGGAAAGATTTATTTGGAGACAAGCAAATTCTGTTAACAGGCATAAATATGTATAATAGATGCGACAATGATTGTAAGAGACTAAACGAAACTCATAACTCTGTTTCGCTTCTCTAAACAGGTGCAAACCCTCGGCCTGGGCGAGGAATGGCAAGGCGGTGACATGAAGGGCCTTGGCGGCGGCTACAAAATCAATTTGCTGCGTAAGGCTGTCCAGGAACTCAAGGATGCTGAGGATACCATCATACTATTTACGGACAGGTAGGCAACATATTATTCTTACCATATAGATCACTTTTAACACACGCCCGAATGCCCACAGTTACGATGTCGTCTTCACAGCTCCGCTTACGGAGATCTTGGAAAAGTTCAAGGAATCCGGTGCCAAGGTGCTGTTCTCGGCAGAGAAGTATTGCTGGCCCGACAAGAGTCTCGCGGATAGTTATCCTGCGGTGGGGCCCAAGGAGTCACGCTATTTGAACTCGGGCGCCTTCATCGGCTACGCGCCACAGGTGGTTGAGCTGCTGAAGGAGGAAATCGAGGATACGGGCGATGATCAATTGTATTACACGAAAATCTTCCTGGACGAGGCAAAGCGTGCCAAGCTGAACATCAAACTGGATACGCAGTCGCGTCTGTTCCAAAGCCTGAATGGTGCCCAAAACGATGTGAAGCTAGAGGTGGATCTTGACTCTAATCAAGGCGTGTTGCAAAACATCGATTTCCTGACCACGCCCGCCATTATCCATGGCAATGGGCCGAGCAAAATCAACTTGAATGCCTATTCCAACTATCTGGCCAAGACTTTCAGTGGCGTCTGCACCTTCTGCCAGGAGTATCCGCTAGAGCTGAATGTGAGTAAAAGTTTGCTATATGTACGATTTATATAAATGTCTTATGAGGTTTCTTCTCCGCAGGAGCAAGAGCTGCCTATCATCACTCTAGCTGTGATCGTGAATCAACCTGTGCCTTTCCTTGATATGTTCCTGGCTGGCATCGAGAAGCTCAACTATCCTAAGAAGTCGATGCACCTCTTCATGTACAGCAACGCTGAGCTGCACGATGAGCTCGTGCAGTCCTATGTGAAGAACCAGGGCAAGAGCTATGCCAGCGTCAAGTATATCCTATCCACGGATGGTTTGACTGAAAGTCAGGGCCGGCAATTGGCACTGTGAGTAACTAAACAGAAGCAGCGTATAAGTATGCATATACATATGTATGTAGGATATAGGTAGATAGGATACAGGATTATTTGATATGTTTTGCAAATCACTCATTCACAACTGGTTCATATATATCATTTTGTATCAGAAATAAGTCTTCCTTAGAGGCTGTTCCTTATACAAAGATTCTTAGCTCGTTACGAAAGCTTGGGGAAGAAATTTAGAGAGACTTAGATTTCTACCGAAATATTTTATTTTAATATATTAGGGTTTTCCAATACTTTTTATATTTTAGGCAGTAAATAGAATTAAGGGAAATAGTACAAGTATTTTAAAATAATAAATTTAATTGACGACTTTAGAAAATATTTAAAATGTTGCATAATAATAATATTTGCATTCTTAACGAATATTATTCCGATAGAATAATAATTTAGTGACTCAATAGTCTTGATTAATCATTATCAGTTGATGTTCAAGTGTTTATTAATCAATTAATTAAATCTAGATATATGTGGCTTCATATCTATAAAAATACAATTTACCTGCCTAATTGGTTGATTTACTCTTGTATCTTTGACAGTGACAAAGCAAAGCAGAAGAACAGCGACTACATTTTCTACGTGGACGGCGATGCGCACATCGAGGACAGCGAAGTGCTGCGGGAGCTGCTCAGAATGAACAAGTAGGTTTACCAGCATGCATATATTTTTAAATATATCTGATTACACATTCTACGCTTAACCTTTGCAGGCAATTTGTGGCGCCGGTGTTCTCCAAATACCACGAGCTGTGGAGCAACTTTTGGGGCGCGCTCTCCGAGACGGGCTACTATGCACGCTCCCATGACTACGTGGACATTGTCAAGCGGAGTTTGATGTAAGCTAAACACTTGTCTTGGGTTTTTTTAAAAGGTTTTCATTCGGGTACAACTTTATTGCTTATGCATATAATGGAACATGGAAACCGTAGTAGCTAATCGAACGCAATGGAGAAATCGGTCTTAAAGCTGCGTCTGTCTATGGAATACATATTGTCCGCCGTGCACTCGTAAAGGCCGGCATCCATCTGGGTAGCCGGATCGATTTCGATCTTGGACTTGACGCGATCCTCACCAATGGTCCATTCGTGCACATGCATGTACAGGTGCTGATAGATTTCGGCGCCGTCCTTGTACCAGGTTATGTGCGGGCGCGGATTGCCCTTGGCCACGCACAAAAAGGCGATCTTGTGACCCAGCACGTACTCGAGATCAAAGTGCGAGGCTTGCAAGATCTTGGCGCCCTGTAGCGACGAAGAGATTAGTTGATAATCTTTTGATTGCTTCGCTAACTCACATTATTATTGTTGTAGTATTGATCCGATTCAGGATCACGGTATTTGCCCGTTATCGGCAGCCCGATCTGCACGCGAGACTTGGTGCGTCCACGACCGCGTCCACGACGCGCCTCAACGACCGGTGCAGTTAGCATTAGTAGGACCAGGGCCAGGCTTATGCTGATTAGCAGGCACTTTGCTTGCATCCTATGCTGTCTCTCACTCAAACGTTGCTGTGCGAATCTCGTCTGCTCGGCGACTGAGCAGCAGCTGCTGGGGACAATTGCTCGCCTGCCACTGAGCTCGGCCAATTTGCCACAATTGGCGTCGCTTGGGTCTCGCATTTAAATCGCCATCAGCAAGCGGCAACCAGCAGGCAGCAGCTCGGATTTTGGCATTTTATTCTCAGATCGCTTTAGTTCGCATCTGATATGCGCAGCTCCACAGGTTGCCTTATTTCACTCAATTTCATTTGATTTGATTTGCGCACTCGCTGAATCTGCATGCCTCTGCAACAGTCTGACCAAAGGCCAATCTCTTTGCGCACAGTGGGGCGAGAGCTGTGCAAATTAGTCAATTACAAATATTTAGGTACGATGTTTTAGTAAATGACTTACTAATTTATAAACTACATTTTTTAGCTGAACTACTTAGTGATCAGAGAAGAATGTAGCTAAAATTGATGGTTTTTTATCAATCAATTGTGGGCGTTGCATGTTATTCTCCAGTTTATTGATGAATTAATCTGTAAATTTTTACTTAATTGGGTTTTTTAACTGTTCAGTAGTTGATGACTATCGATCAAGTCGCTGTTAACCTCATGTACAGCTTTAGCAGCACAGAAAGTGCTTTGTAATATTCTTACTGTAGACTAACAAATAATTTCAAATTATTAACATTTTCCCATTTTATCATATTTTCCCCATCTTCTGCCCACTGTGCTCTGGGTGTACAGATCCCCTACATAACCGATCTCATTTGCATAGTCAAGTGCCGCAGTTTGTTTTGGTTTCGTTTGCACTCATTTTAATATACATTTTAATAAAATAAATGCAAAAAAATTGTTACAATCAGGTAATTGAAGCCAATTTGTCGGTTACGCACACAGAATAACAGAATGAGACAGGGTGCGATAGGGATCGAAAGAGGGTGAAGAGTAAACGAATATCAGCCGAAAGGTCGAGAACAAAAATAATATCAATTGATACAAACAAAAACGAACTTGAAGTTACAAATTATATTTGGTTTTTATTAAAACATTACAGCAAAAATGTGTTACAATATGTCAATGAAAAATGAACGGGGACGTAGGGAATGTTAAAAATTAACCATGGCATAGTCTGTACGAAAACCTCGACGATCAATTGCATAGATATTATCCGCTTGACATTCGTAATAACCTAGAAAGAAATTGGAAATTTAGTTGTGTTGTTAATTTTAACAGAAACTATATATTATTTGCAATATTTTATTTCTATTGATTAGATATAAAAATTATAATTGGAAAGAATTGAACATAATAGCTCTAGGAATACGTGGCATTCTGCTTTGAAATTTATCTCCAGATTTTTAGTACTACGAGTAGCTATATCTTTCATATTGGCTTACCTGCATCCATTTGCGTGGTTGGATCTATTTCCATTTTAGATTTGATAATCTCTGGCTCTGGATGGGATTCGTGTACCTTAAGTAAAATATACAAATTGTGATTTTTAACAAAACTGCGATTTTTTCATTGTTTCAAGTTAACTTACCTGAAAGAAACGATGTTGATAGAGCTCAGCGCCATCCTTGAACCAGGTGATAGTTGGACGAGGATTGCCTAAAAGTATAAAGAGATATGCGTAAGCGATTTATATAGAAAATAAATAAAGGTAGAGAGAGAGAGACGGGGAGTGTGAGATTCAAAGAGTTTGAATTATCATAGGGAGTACTTTATAAGAGAGATTGAACTATGGAACTAAAACTTCTGTTAGCTTATCATAAGTGAACTGCTTGACATACAGAAGGCTGTTAAATCTACTAATTAAGACGTTTTGTCATACATATAGAAAGAGAGAGAGAAGGACTGCCGCAGTTTTAATTCCTACTCACCCTGTGCCATGCAGAAGAAAGTTATCTTGCGACCCAGCGTATAATCCAGTTCAAAGTGCGATGATTTTATGATCTTGGCACCCTGTTAGAGAGAGAGAGAGAGGCAAAGTTTTATTTCACTAGTAAATTAACTCATTTAAAATAGATTTTTCTATGCCATATAAACTTGTACCGTACAACTTACATTCTCATGATCGTAATAGTTGACCGCGTCCTGTGATCTGTGTTGAATAACAACTGGCTTCTTGCCCGTATAATTGCGACGTAGGACATTGCGACCGCCAGTGCTTCCTATGTATGGTATATAAATAAATATATGATTAAACCAGAGCTGTTTATACAAGTATGGAACATTCTTAGAGCTTGCTCACTTTGTGCCTGAACCTGACTAAGATCAATCAACAGCAGCAGCAGCCAGAGCAGAGCGAATGCTTTGATCTTGCTCTGGTTTAACCAGGGACTGGGCATATTTGTTTGTTTGTGATCTGTGATCGGCGATCTGTGACTGCGCTGATTCGGCTTTGCACCCGTCTGTCAGCGTGCAATGTTTTGTTCAAACTGCGACCAGAGTTTAGGGGTTAGCCCCTGTTTGTTTATCTCACTGATTGAATTTAATCTGTGCCTCGCTCAGCCTCGCGAGAGTTTTGCTACTTTCCATTTCCACAACATTGTTGCGAAATATATATCTATATATATGTGTATATGTGTGGGTGCATATGTGAATTTGCATCTATATAATGTATCTAATTCTCTCTTTCTCTCTCTCTCTCTCTCTCCTTAGCGGCATGTTCAATGTTCCACATGTGACGACAATCTATCTGATCAAAAAGAGCGCCTTCGATGCCGTCAAATTCGAGCACAAGGAACTCGACCCTGATATGGCCATGTCTGATTCTCTGAGAGATGCGGTAAGTGATCCATAATATAGTAATTCAACATTGAACTATTTTAATCAAATTGTTTATATTATTTGCATGAGGAAGCATTTGCAGCTGCTTTCATAGAACACTAAAGTTCTAGGCTGTTGCTTCTATTTTGAGTAGAATTTTCATTTTAATAGTCTTTCAAATGTCTTCAAAACAACATTATTCCATTTATAGCAATTTGTTTTTATTATTATTATTTGTTTTTAGGTTTTTCTTTTTGTATGGTATAAAAAAGAGAATATTTTAAAAATTCGAGAAGAATCTAAGTAAATTTTCTCTTTAAAATTACATAAAATTGCTTTACAAAATATAAAAAAAGTATATATATGTTATATTATAAATAATATATAAATATTGGTAAAAAAATACCCTAGCAAAATTCTGATCGTTTCCTTATCTTTCTAGGGCGTCTTCATGTACGTCAGCAATGAGCGTTATTTCGGTCATCTGATCAATGCGGATAACTTCAACACGACCGTAGCACGTCCCGATTTCTATACCCTGTTCAGCAATCGCTATGACTGGACCCTGAAGTACATCCATCCCAATTATTCGACCCAGCTAAACGAGAGCGTGGTCATTCCACAGCCCTGCCCCGACGTCTATTGGTTCCAGATTGTGACCGACGCCTTCTGCGACGATTTGGTGGCTATTATGGAAGCGTATGGCAAGTGGTCTGATGGCAGCAATAGCGATACGCGATTGGAGGGTGGCTACGAGGCGGTGCCCACACGTGACATTCACATGCGACAAGTGGGACTCGATGCGCTCTATCTGAAGTTTTTGCAAATGTTTGTGCGCCCGCTTCAGGAGCGTGTCTTCATGGGATACTTCCATGATGTAAGTCCGAAGTAAAGGAGCATTATCGTTTTTCAAATTAGTTAATGCATATTTCGCCTGCTCTCCAGCCTCCGCGCTCTCTGATGAACTTCATGGTGCGCTACAAGCCCGATGAGCAGCCCTCTCTGCGTCCACATCACGATTCGTCGACCTACACAATCAACATCGCAATGAATCGGGCGGGCATTGATTACGAAGGCGGCGGCTGTCGCTTTTTGAGATACAATTGCTCTGTGACTGAGACGAAGAAAGGCTGGATGCTAATGCATCCGGGTCGTTTGACTCACTTCCATGAGGGCCTACTGGTGACCAAGGGCACACGCTATATCATGATTTCCTTTATCGATCCGTAGGCGTTGCTACCAGACGATGCTACTATATGAACTGCCATGAGAAGGCCACTCCAAAGAATTTATAGTTAGTTTAAAGTAAGCAACTCGAATCAAATCTAGTTTAGTCTTGGAATGTGGTCCATTAAAATGCCTAAGTTGGTCGTTCGTTTGCCAAATATCCTGACAAAACGCAAAGTTTGTCTTCGTAAATCCAGGGTCTGAAAAAAACTTTATTAAGCCTTAAGTTTAATCTAATTTTTTCGAATCGTGTTTAATTCACTATGCAAATACAACAAAAAGATGTACACAAATGAAAGCAATTTTTTAATAAATAGTACGAAAAATATCGTATATGCATGTACATTTTACATATATGTCTGTAGAGCTGCTTTAATTTTTCACATTTTGATTGCGCGCGCATCAGAGCGCTGTTATTTTATACTGCTTTAACAGCAAGCAGAGCACTGCTTAGCTGAACTCTGTTAATGCAAGTACGGCTGTGTGCAGCGCAAACCCTTAACAGTTTGTGCCCCCCTTTTTGATAAAAACACGACGTAACAAAATATGTTTAAGCTGTGTTGCTTTACACTTGGGCAAGTCTTTTAAGCTTACAGAATTCGTAAATCTTATTGGAGTTCTTCATTTTAGCATTCCAATAAGAGCACATTTTATAAGTGTACATAAACTTTTGCTGCGCAGTGTAAATGGGTAAATGCTCCATCGTGCAGCGGTTTCTTGTTTCCGTTTCGTTTTGCTTGCGTTCAGTCGCATTTGGAATAACAGTACGTGCGGGTGTTTTCGCGGGCGCGTTCATGTCGCCGTTCGCTTCTTCATCTACAGTTAGTTCTTGCCTAGCTGTTGGCGCGCCTGGACAACGCAAAGTGCGTTTGGAGTGTTGCCCGTAAAAATAGCCAAATATTTTATAGCAACAACTCTTGTCAATTCATTGCTGTCGTATGTAAGTGTGTGTATATGTGCGTCACAGTTGAAAAAAAATTTAAATATGTGTGTGCATAAATCGAATAAGAAGTGCTCGAAATGCCGCATCCTGTGAAAAGTGAAACAAACAAAACAGCAAAAGGGCAAGGCAAAAGTTTTGTTATTGGCAGCGCAGACATTGCCTCTCGGTCACAGGCTCTTCTGCGCGCTCTCTCGTTCTCTCTCATTCATGCTGCCCTATTCTAGACTATTTCGTACAGCGGCTCATTCGATTTTCCTTTTTCCTCTTCCGCGTGCGTGTGGCCGCTGCTCCTGTTGTTGTTGCTCTTGTGGTTGTTGTTTATGCTGCCACTTTTTTTCTGTTCCTGTTTTACTTCCCTACATTTTTTACTATTTTATTTACACTTTTCGGCTATTTGTATGCGCGCACGTTGTTAGTTGTAGAGGTGAAGCAAAAAGGGGCGCGCATTTTGCTCACACCTGAGCAACGTTTATTTGCGCCTCGGAGTTGCTCTGGCAACAACAGCAACAGCAGCAACAACAAGAGCACGAGCCATAGCTTATGTTATTTGAATTTCCTTTTTATGTAGCAAACAACACGAAAGCTCGTGCAAACCGAACGTGGCAAAAAAAGAACCGTTAAAAACATTAAATTATCACATATAGAATAACAGCAACAAAGAACTGTAACTGTAACTATCGACTGTAACTGCATCTGCATTGCCCCCAGCAACGCCAACGCCAACGCCGACGCCAACTCCCCATTGGCAGCCGGCAAATGATCAGGCGAATTAAAACTGAAAGTTTGCCTCGAATTGTCGCATAACGTGTCGCCGCTACTGTGCGATACGTTCGTGTTTCGGGAGCCGTCCAATGCTGGAGGTGAGTGCACATACATACATAAGTATGTGTGTAAGAGTATGTGTGTGTGTGTGACAGTGTATGCATGTGTTTATGGGAGTATGGCTGTATATTTTCTATTAGCGCTGTGTTTTTGTTTCTTAGCCGCCTTGAAATTAGCTAAGCAGCTGCTAATTGGGGTGGCAGGTCGTGAACACTGAGCACAGCCAAGTGTTGAAGAGGGGCTGGGGGAAGTGTAGGGTGCATAGGCGACGCATAGAGGAGCGACAACTGTGTAACGGGACATAAGAAACTGGATGCTAATAATAAAACTGCATCGAACATATGCTCAACTCGAGAGATTATTGACAATTCTCTTTAAGTGCATTTCTAATCTTAGAGTGCACTGAACAAAATTTGTTTACTGAAGTTTTAGAATATACGTTTAGATAACTAAGAATAATTTATTTTAATTAAATAATTATAATTAAATGTGAAAAATATTGATTTAATGAGCGATGAACTAAATATATAATGATAGCAAAGATTAAAATTGAAGTATATTTCATTTAATGTATTTATCATATTTAAAAGTTAAAGAAATGTAAAAAGATTTGTATTATTATATTATAACTATGGAATGTTATTTCATACAACTACATTAAAGAACAGTTCAATGTATGATTTTAGATATAAAACCTTCAGACTTAAAAAAGTTCCAAAATTGAGCTAGCTTTACAAAATTCCGTTACGTTTATAAAACAATGCAACCCTATATATTAGTTTAACAACAGGTTCATAAAACAATACAGCCATATATCTTAATTTCCAATTTCAGCTGTTTCTATCTTAAAAAATATTATTTGGTTATTTTTTTTGTGGAACAAACTCTTTACTACGCTCAAAAATAAATGAAAATTTTCAATTTTCTAAGCTATACAATTTCCATAAAATTTTCACATCTTTAATTATTTAAAAACAAAATGCTAAAATTTCCTTATGGTTATTATTTTGTATATTCCATATAGTAAACATTTGAAAGCTGGTTTAGTGTTTTCTCTGCATTTCACGTAGGAAAAAATAATTCGTGAGCTTTGCTTTGGCAGTTGCCAAATAGAAGCGGAAAGTCGCCTGCAGATATTTTTGTCAGTTTAGTTTCTGTTGTAGTGTTTCTTATGGACATTTAGCTGGCAGTTGACAGAACTCGGACTTTGGCCGCAAGGATGTTTGAGTGAAAAACATCTCAAATAACCTAAACGATGTCCTGGGATGTACTTTTCTGTTATCTTTTGTGGCAAACCAAGCAAACAATCTGCTTTTGAGCGTGTCTCTTTGCTTGTACTTACAGACATTGCATGTTCTATGTGCATGTACATGTCTATGATACATACATATATATAAAACTGCTGTCTATAGTTGAGCAAATGTTCTGTTTCCTGTAATTTGTAGTAGGAAATCACAAGAGTCTTGAGAATAAACTAATAAAAAGATAAATAGACAAGGAGAATACTTTAACAATTCTATAGAAAGTCTTCATATATGGTGATAGATATACCCATATTATACTTATCATAAGTTGATAAAGTATTGCATAAAAGTAGTATTGTACACATTTTGCTTATGTTTCTTTATATATATTTTGCATCCTTAATTCATTTTGCATCCATGCCTAATTCCTAGCTTATCACAAACTGCACGGCTTAAGGATTAAAGTACATACAACAAAAATATAAAATAATTGCGCGTGAGCACGAAACAAGTTTTTAAATACATTAAACTCTTTTGTGGTCTGTGAAAAAAAATAGCAAAAAGTAGACATGAGCTCCACGCAATCTTAATTGTCATAATCACAGCGAGGGGAGGTCCAGCACACACACACAAGCAGTGACACACATGTATAAGTATATGTGTATCTGTATGTGTTAGTTACCATATTTTGCAGAGCGCCCTTTGCGGCGTGAAAAATTAAAACGTGACACAAATTACTAGACTCCGAGGGCCTCACACACATATGCACGTACACATACCCACACATACACACACATACAAATTCCATTAACATGGTGTCTTCGCTCTCTCTCTCTCTCGCGACTGCTGCACTGCGTCTATCCCGAGGGGCTCGAGGGCGACAAAAAGCCTTCCGCGTACTGTCTATGGTGTCTCCCAAGCTCTCCCTCTCTCTCTCTTTCTTTCTCTCTTTTGCCCATTCTGAAGCGCACCTCAGGGGAGACTTTGTTAATAAATTTTATACGCGTAGATTTTGCACGCACATTTTTGAAGGATTTCAGCCCTGTCAACAGGCCAAGTGCTCATTGAGCCTTCCCCCAAGCAGACATTTGCATATTATAAGGGCCATAAAAAAGCATTCCAGAGGCTTAAATCTGTACTCCATTCCCTATCTGATTTAAAGTTTTACCTGCAACTTAATCAAATATGTCCTAGATATTCGAATAGGTTATTGTACATTCATATATGAGTTATAGGTAAATATTTAAGAATAATACGCAGATATGTGGCTAACATATATATTTCATAATTACTATATGAGTCATATATGTATATATGAACTAGATTTTCTTCAATGTTTGTTCCTTATGATTCATATTGGTTTTTTGAAAGTTTTAATTGCTAACACGTTTTGAATTTTGAATTATCAGCTAGAGTTAGTTTACACGTATTTATTCAATTGTGTAAACTGGAAAACGCTTAGTGACCTTTTTTAAAAGTATGCAGCTTTATTTTTATTTAAATATAAAATAGGTAAAAATTATATAAATGTTTTGATATATACGTAAGACTAGTGGAAGTCATTAAAATGTATTTGATATTTGCATATAGTATGTACATATATTTCTTAAACGAATACATAAGTCTAACACGTTTTTGTTTTTTCTTTTTTTTTATTATTAATGAGTATTTTCAATTTAATTTGTTTATATTAAATACAATTTTTAAATGTAAAGTTTTCAAGAATGGTTTCTGATTATAAACATTATTTTATTGTTTATGCATATTTGTTAATTTCTTCATTTTTATAAGTATTTGTACCTAATTTTTGATAAATTACGACACAATAATATATAATATCGTTATACATAACTGAGGATATTTAATCTTAATCACATCAATTCTCCTCCTTTTAGTAAATTTCAATTAAAGAATCAGATTTTTTTCAATAGATTCTGTCTTCATAATTCTAATCGTATAAACGAATGTGTTTAGAAATTCAGGCATCCGATTGAAACCATTTATAACTTTTAGTTAGTGGATAGAATTAGTTTCTTTTTTTTTTTTTGTCGGAGCAGAAAATTGTTACGGTTGGGCAGATTCCGGGTGGGTTGTCTGTCTGCTTCCTGAGCACGCAAGTCATTTCATAGACTTGCCGACCCTTGGCGTGCGTTTCTGCCACAGGCAGCTGCGTGAGTTGATGTGAATGGATGGAATGGCTTTGACGGGCCGGCTGCTTGGCTGACTGGCTGGCTCACTGGCTGGCTCACTAGCTAGCAGGCACTGGACATGAATATCAACAACGAGTAGCAGCGAGCAACGAGCAGGAAAAGGACTTTACTCAATTTGACAAACATGACACAGAAACCCCCGGAGCTGACTTGCAATTTGCCCTGGACAGACACTTTTCTCTGCTTCTTGTGCTTCTGCTTCTGCTTCTTCTTCTGCTGCTCCTCATGCTGCTGTTGCTCTTCTTCTGCTGGTGCTTGCTGCCCCGCATTGGCAATTAAATTTTTAAAATGCCATTTCGAAAGCTATTTGGAGCGCCTATGCGAATGAGCAATGGCAACTGCGTGCCTGCCAGGTCTAAGGACTACGGACTACAGACCGAGGCCCTAGTACTTAGACCAAGAAATTGCCCTGGCATTGCGGACAGACAATGACAATATTTTCACAAAATAAACCTAAATTCAATTTCAGTTAGAACTGAGTACATGTGGTTGATGTCTGTGTGTGTGTGTGTGTGTGTGGCCAAGTGAAAGAATACCTCTGAGAGAAGAGTCGAAAGAAATTTGCATTGGATATAAAATGAAGCAAACATGCGGTATTAGAGTGTTATTTCTATAGTAAGTTTAGATGGGTAAAAAGTATGAAGTAGACTTCGATCTACATCAATACGGATGGTATAAATGTCTAAGTGCAAGTTGAATCTTCGTGGCATGGAAGATTATAGAAGTTACTTTTCGAATTTTTGATAAAAATAATTGTAATTTCATGAATTATTTTAATAATATATCTTTAGAATATTTCTAAGATTAGGCTGGCTATTTTATATACGCTTTTTGTTATTTATGATAATTCTAACAATATTATTTTAAAATATGCGCTTGAATTAGAACGCCGGATAATGTAGACGATGAGCTTGAAAGAGCGTATTTAGCTTTCGCTTTGTCTAGTTTAGCATTTAACATTATATTGTGCTACGTTCATACGAACCTCTTGGCTTGTGGCATGCGCTAGGCGCATTGGGGCAGAGTGGAGGCGATTCAAATTTTTTGCGCCTTTGTTTTGCTTGCAGCTTTCGCATACCGCTGAATCACTTGACTCGTTTGCTGCCAACTTCCTCGTGTCATCGGCGGCGAGTGCCTGACTCTCTCCCTCTCGCTCTCTCAATCCCACTCTTTCTTGTTCTCTGTTCAGCTCAAGGACTCTGCTCGAATGCAGTTGGCACTTGCTTCTCTTGGCCATCTGACAAGTGGGTCTTCGTCTCTCTCTCTCTCTCACTCTTCTTGATTTGAGACCTCAGGCAAATTCTGCCCGCATTGCAATTTCTCACAATGTTGTGTCTGATTGTTCTTCCTCTCTCTCTCTCTCTCAGACTCACTCTGCTTGTCTGTCTCTTGTTTTCTGTTTGGTTTTTTCTTCTTTGTTGTA